GGGAACCGATTACAAGGATATACATATAACCTCCTCCCTGGGGTACGGACAACAGAAAAGTGGGTGAAGGGAGATGTCAGGTAGGGCAGGATATGACAAAATTAATATTTATAAATTATCAAGGGCTCATGAGGGAGGGGGGAAAAATGTAGACCTGATGCCAGGGGCTTAAGTGGAGAGCAAATGTTTTGAGAATGATGAGGGCAATGAATGTACAGATGCGCTTTATACAATTGATGTATGTATGGATTGTGATAAGAGTTGTATGAGCCCCTAATAAAACGATTTAAAAAAAAAGAAAGAAACTAGGCCTGCTTACTCCAAGGCTACATCTAGTCCTAGCCTCGCCTGTACATCTATGAGGGGTGCTTGTCCAGGCCAATTAGTGCAGGTGGGAGAGTCTTCCCTGAAATCATGCCAGGAAGACTGGACAATCCAACAATGAACTCCACGAGTGGAAATACATGGCATGGCAGAAAAGGCTGCGGTGTTGCCCTTGCCTGAACCTCCACCCCACGGCCCTTACCACTCATTTTGCACTCAGTAGAACCCACTGCTTCTAGTGCTCCTGCTCCACAGGGCTTCCTGCCTTAGACCATATACTATTTGCCTCAAGGGATCTTCCCTGCCTTGCTTGCCTGGCACGTTGATCTTACATCACTCAGTAAGCTTTCCCTGATTTTCTGCTGACAGTGGTAACTATTTAGCCCTCTGCATCAACCTCTGTGGATTGTGATAAGAGTTGTACAAGCCCCCAATAAAATGATTTATTTATTATAAAAAATGTAGGACTTATTCATTTATCCTTCTTGCCTGGACCTAGGGGACACAGAGTCAAATGGCACTTCGGCAGAAGGAGGAAGGAGTAGATGCTGAAGCGTGGAGAAGTCCTGGGTTCTGTAGTAATTCCCATCAAGGGAAATCAAGAATGAGTTTCTGTGTGTGCTGGAGAATAGTGTGATCAGGTAAAGTGGTTCGCCCCAAACTTCAGAATCAAAGTTGATTTTTTGGCAGGGAGGGGAATACACTGGTAATCTGGCTGGGAATTGATAGGAGTTAATGTCCATGCTGTGGAACAGGAGGGCATCTGACGGCATCTTGGATTTTAAGCCCCTGTGAGGGAAGGTGTTAAGACAGAAGCTGAGAGAGTGATTTGAAAAGGAGACTTTGAGATGCTCTGGGCACAAATTGTGCTGCGGTGGAGCCAGGGACAAGCCATCCTCCTCACGTTGCTAGGATAACCCAGATTACTGCATTATTGGGGAGTGTGGAAGTTTTCAGCACATTTCTGGTAGCCTCCTTGGCATTTTCACAGTGGGCCACATCAGCTGTGGCAGGGGCAATGACTGGCAGTGGTATCGCTTCCTTAAATGACTTCACGAGTAGAGAGTATTGAGAAAAGGGAGCTAGGGGAGAAAGGAGTGGATGAACGTGGAGAACTGTGGCTTACACGCTGGCGTGGGAGTCTATTGAAAGACACTAGGGGCTTCCCACTTAGTCCTGCAAGAGCAAGACTCAGGCCCACCGAAACATACAAAGTTTCAATTATAATCACGTGTTATTGCATCCTGGAGATAGCCGGGTGACATTTTTGTGTTTGTGTGTCTGCTATGAGGAAACTGCATCTTACTCATCTTGTGTTCCAGGACCTCCCGCAGGGCCTGACACACAGCGGCTGCTACCAACATCTTTATGGACTGATTTTATAAAAGAATTGGAAGAAGTCAAAGAAGGGTGGGCGAGGAGCATCACACACAGACAGACGCTGAAAATATGGTCCTTTTTCTGTGATCTGACCAGATCTTGAACAGGACACAGAAACCGGATCTGTGACATGTCGTGGGTTCTGGCCCTTGTTGCATATGCCGAGATGGGTTCCGTGACAGTTAGAGAGTGAACTGGCTGCCAAGATGGAGAGGGATCCATTAAGCATGACCTTCTACAACCCTGAGATCCCCCAAATGAAGGGGACCAGGAACTACCAAAGGGTGAGGAGGTGCCTCATTGTAGGTCAGTTGGGAAGAAGAGAACTGGCTTCAAGAAAGGCAGGGCTAGACAGACAGTCTCCCAAGGACAGATGGGAAAGAGTACCCTGATATATTTCTTTTTCATTACAGAGGTAGGGAAAGATGCCCATACCTCAACCCCCCATGGGGAAACGAGGTAGCGAAGAGTAGGAGACCCAGGGATCAGGGGTTAACTTCCTGGGTGGGCAATCTTTCCCTCGTCCTTATAGCCTACCCTCCCCACCAACCAACATCCGAGTGCCTCGATGCCACCCCAGAGGCGGCAGCAGCATGTGGATCAGACATACAGCTACATCCGAATGTTCTGTGGTAGTCTCTGTGGCTTTGGCTTCTTAATCCTGGTCTGCATGTCCCCAATGAAATGGGTGCAGTTCCTGGTGACCAAGAATGGCCTTGAGCTCTACACAGGACTCTGGACCTCCTGCAACCATGAACTGTGCTGGAGCAACACCCACCCCTGTGAGTGCCAATACGTTCATGCCGCAGGCCCCCCTGTGCGGGGCATCCTGCCACATCGACCCTTCATCTTTCTCCCTTCATCTTTTGGCCCTCACCTTTCCAAGCCCAGACTAGAACTTTGGGTGCCCTTTCTCCCCCTACCCCAGGTTGGTCCCTCTCCTGAATAATGAGTAGATACACTCTTTACTCTCTGGGAAGGATCCCTGATGGTACTGTGGGGAGCATTGGGATGCTAACTGCAAGGTGTGTGGTTCAAATCCACCAGTAATTCCAATGGGGGAAAAGCTAAGGCTGTCTGCTCCCATAATGCTCCATAATCCTGGAAAGCCTGTGGAGCACTTGCACTCGGTCCAAGAGGGACACACTGAGTTCAAATTGACCTGATGACAGTGAGCGGGGTTTGTTTGGGGCTCTACTCTGGGAAGAATTTCTTTGTCCCTTAAAAGGTGTTCGAGTGAAATGATGTGATCACTATTTCAATGAGGCTGATGGAAACAGGAGAAGCGACTGATTACAGCTGGAATGGGAAGCAAAGTGTCTTGACCGCCTTGAGGTTTAACGTTCAAGGTCTGCTTGTTCTTTTGCCAGCAGTAGACGAGAACCTAACTGCATGTCTGAAGTGTAGAACTGAAAAACTGATGTCTACTATTGAGGGTAAATTGCCTACATAAAATTTTAGGTGACTGTAAATAAATTTGAAGATATATTTCAAAATCAGCCTCTGGGATGGAAGCGATATATGCACACATTTTGCGATCAGAACCAAGACTTAGAAGAAAGACATAACTCCACAGCTTTTATACATAAGATATACAGTTAGACAGAGAAACAGGGATTGTAAAGAAAACACACAAATGAAATCTTCATTTCCCCTTTTAGAGAATCAGGGTCACAGATGATGGAGGCTGGGCATCTCAGCCCAATTTTACTGTCAGTTATTTGACCCTGGGCTCAACTAAGGGGCAGGACCCTAAAGCAGCATCTTGGGAAGACACCAAAACCGAAGGCAGGCCGGTAATTCAATGGCACCTTCCACCAAAAAGAGAAAATATGAAGGATAAGAAAAAAGACAATGGCCATAGAAATACATTTTTCTGTGAGAAGACCTTTCACAAAATAATAGCTACAAATGCCTAATCAGCGTAGAAAACACTGTTTTGATTTCCATCATTATTTTTAAAAGGCAGATCAAATGAACAATGAGATATACTTTTTCAAACTTAGAATTAACAGATTTTTAAATCATAATGCACAAGGCTGTGTACTCCCGTATACACTGAAAACACAAAGCAAACTCACCACCATTGAGTTGGACCTGACTTGTAGTGATCCGATGGGACAGGGTAGAACTGCCCTGTGGGGTTTCCAAGACTGTAACACTTTACGGGAATAGGAAGCCTCCTTTTTCTCTCTCGGAGGGTTTTGTGGTTCCAGACTGGTGACCTTGAGGTTACCACCCACTACACCATCAGGGCTCCTCCCATGCACACTGGGACCATGTAAATTAATATAGCCAAAGCAATATTGTAAAGTGTACCCAGACACTTGCAAATGTTCATCTTCTCTGACTCAGTCATTCCACCCCTAAAAGTTAACTCTAAAGAAAATTAGAAAAGGACTAAAAGATTTAAACCTAAAGGTTAATTAAACTGCGATATCATTCAAATGTTTAATGAGTTAGATTCTCGAAAGTTTATCACTTAAAGCAGCCAATCATTTATTTCTTGGAACTTTGAGTTCACCTTTGAGACAAACTGACAAAACCAACCAAGCGAGTCCTTTGGGGGCACGATTATAAGTCAAGCATCCACTTCTATTAGCTGTGGATAGAATTGTCTAGAGAAACAAAACCAGGACAAGAAGGGACTTTATATCAAGAAGTAACAATATCAAGAAGGCATCGCAGCCCAGTCTGACTCAAGTCCAGGAGACCAATGCTAGCTGGAGTCCTCCTCAGACCCATGTAGCTGCAGGCCGATGATGCAGAAAGGATGATGAATCAGGATGCAGGAAGATCACACACGTGGGTTCAGTCACATGGATCCAAGGTCAGTGGAAATATGGCAAGGCGCTGACAGCTCTCAGAGATGGTCCACAGAGGCCACCCCTGGAAGCAGAAAGGGGCAGGGGCAGAGAGAGGGGAAAGACGTCCCCCACGTCTCTCATAAAAGTCACACCTCCCAGGAAGCATCGTCAGATTGTGACCTGATCGGCAGGTGGACTCCACCCCCACGCAAATTCAAGTTGACATAAAATCACTTAAGTGTTGTTCCACTGTTATTTCCAGTGTCAACTAATCCTAGTTCTAGAGCCAGTGATGAAGTTTCTAGTACAGATAACATAAGAAATCCCCAAAACCTCATCAGCCAGTGACAATAATATGATGCTATTATTACCCAAATACATTATGGTCCAAGTTCAAAAACTTCAGGGTCTTCCCTACTGGATTTTAGGAATTTAGGTCCCTTTCTCCTTACCCCAAGAGTCCTGGTGATGTTGTGGACGAGGCATCGGGCTGCTAACTCCAAGGTTGGCAGTTCAAACCCACCAGCCGCTCCATGGGACAAAAATAAGACTGTCCGCTCCAGTAACAATTTCGAGCCTCAGAAACCCTATAGAGGGTTGCTGTGAGGTTCCATTGGAGTGTGGGTTTGGTCTCTTCACCCTTAGCAATTTCTGAGCGTTCCGTGCACAGACTATCTCAGGTGGGCTCAGGAAGGTGGATTAACCTTCTGCCTTGGTCTTGCTTCAGACCATCCAGCCTCTGTGTCTGACCTCACCTGGCTCCAGAATGACAGAAGGCTTTGCTGCTGTGGCTGTGGCTAATGAGATAAAGGTGTGTGGGTGGGTGGCGTTGGTTGGGGGGGTGCGGAATAGAGGACACTATCGTCACTTTGCTACAGGGTGGAACCAACACTTCCCCTAATTCCCTACAGCATAAATGAGAACAGACTGTAATGTAAAGGAATGTGTTGCCAAAGCGAGTGACTTGAATTATTTTGAAGAGGGTAAAGAAGGAAGTTTTTTTTTTAAATACTGCAATTCACGGATGCAGTTTTATTTTTATTTATGTATTTTATAAATCATATTACTGGGGGCTCTTACAGCGCTTATAACAATCCACCCATTAATTGTATCAAGCACATTTGTACATCATCATTTTCAGAACATTTTCTTTCTACTTGAGCCCTTGGTATCAGCTCCTCTTTTTTCCCCTCCCTCCCTGGCTCTCCTACCCTGTGAACCCCAAGGGAGACATTTTAACCAAGATGCTGGATAGTCCCGAACTAGGCCCTTGGGAGCCCCCCTACAGGAGGAACTACTAAGCTGTGTCACTATGCTTTGTCCTTGCCCTCCAGAGGAGCTACCAGGGAGGAATTCATCACCTCTTCTCCAACATGCCAGGGCTCCAGCCAGGATCTTTTCCATCTGAAAACCAGCCCTCTGGGCACTTCCCCCGAGTCTCAGGAAGTTGTGCCTTGCCTTCGAAAACCAAAACCAAGACCACAACTCACTGCCATCGAGTTAATTCTGACTCACAGCGACCAGACAGGCTAGAATAGAACGGCCTCTGGAGTGTCCGAGGTTGTCGATCTCGGCTGGAGCGGAAAGCCTCGCCTTTCCCCCTCAGAGCAGCTGGTGGTTTCAAACTGCTGTTCTTGCGTGGAGTCAAGGCACCTGGCCGGAGCGCGGGTGCCTGTTGTTCTTACTTGCTGTCGAGGTGGTTCTCATGCGCAGGGACCCCATGACCAGCAGAGTGGGTAAATACCCCCTGCAGCCACAGGAGTTACCTATCTGACACCCGACTTATGAATTTAGGATTTGTCAGCATCCACAACTGCACGAGTCATTTCCTTGGCATACATTTCTCTCCAGGCCTCTAGTGATGAATATCCTCATGGTACTGTGGTTAGCATGTGTCGCCTCTAACCGATGGTAGTGGTTCAAACTCACCAGCCATTCCGCAGGAGCAGTTGTGACAATATGATTTGATGAAGATTGACATCCCTTCAAGTCACCAACAAGCACACAAAGAAATACTTGCTATTATTAGCTATTAGAGTTGAAAATCTACCATAGTGAATGATGGGGGGAGTGCGGAGTGGAGATCCAAAGCCCATTAGTAGGCCACTGGAGATCCCCTTGCAGAGGGGTCTCGGGGAGGAGATGAGCCAGTCAGGGTGCGATGTAACAATGATGAGAAATACAACTTTCCTCTAGTCCCTAAAGGTTTCCTCCCTGCTCCCACTACCATGACTCGAATTCTATCTTGCAAGACTGGCTAGACCAGAGGAGGTACACTGGTACAGATAGGAACTGGAAATACAGGGAATCCAGGACAGATGATCCCTTCAGGACCAGTGGTGTGAGTGGCAAAACAGGGAGGGTAGAGGGAGAGTGGGTAGGAAAGACGGAACCGGTTACAAGGAACTATATGTGACCTCCTCCCTGGGGGACGGACAACCGAAAAGTGGATGAAGGGAGACGTCGGGCAGGGCAAGATATGACAAAATACCCATTTATAAACTATCAAGGGCTCATGCGGGAGGGGGGAGCGGGGAGGGAGGGGAAAAATGAGGACCTAATGTCGGGGGTTTAAATGGAGAGAAAATGTTTTGAGAAACGATGTACAAATGTGCTTTACACAATTGATGTGTGTATGGATTGCGATAACAGTTGTATGAGCCCCTAATAAAATGTTAAAAAAGAAAAAAAAAAGAGTTGAAAATCAAAATAACAATGAGATATCTCACCCCAGCATTAATAGTAAAGTTTTAAAAAAAAACAACCCAGAAACCAGTAAGTGCTAGTGAAGATGAGGAGAGGCTGTCCACTGCTGGTGGGATTGTAAGGTGGTACAGCCACTGTGGAAAACAGCATGGCCCTTCCTTTAAAAGCTGAAAATGGGAATACTGTATGATGCAGCCAGCCCACTACTACACTGTATGTCCTGGAGAAAGAAGAATGGTGACGTGGATGGATATATGCACATCGTGTTCATCACAGCACTATTCACAGTCGTAAGAAGATGGAAACAACCCAAATGCCCATCAATGGCAAATAGATAAACAAACGGTGCTACCTGCACACGGCGATACTGTGCAGTGCTGATCTGACCAGATCTGGAACAGGACACAGAAACCGGATCTGTGACAAAAGGTAGACTTTGGGGGATGGCCTTGCTTTAAGGTTTGAAGATGAGCTCAGGGCGGTGGTGTCAGAGGTTCATCCAGCCTCCAGGGTGCCAGAAAACCGGAGAGGGAGCATGAGTTCTCTTAATGGAGATTGCGTGCCGTGATCATGTTAGTTAGTGGCAAGGGTGAAAGAACAAAATGGACATTAGGAGGCAGATCTTAATGAAGATAAGCTTGGGTATGTCGTTTCTTCTCTCTAGGTTTCTGTAGTGGGGCTCCCGCCACCTTGAGATATGAAAGACGCTAGACAAGAAGGCACCCTGCGAAGGATACTGAGGATACTGCTGAGTCTTTTACTGAAGGAAAGCTGTATCTACTAACAATTATAAGTGGCTCTCTATTTCAGACATAGTCAATAAAATATTGCTGAATTGTGGGTTAGGCTAGAGAAATAGTGCAAGATGTGTTTCAAGGAATGCATTACAGACAAGTGAGGTTTATCACGCCCTCTCTTCTCTCTCCCCACCATCCCGTCATAGAGGGTAGCATCAGAGATCTGGAGCCAACAGATGGAAGAAAAAGGAGGAGGAGAGGGGCTCTGGGGTAGAGCAGACGAACATTAGCAGACCCATTGTTTATCAGAGAGAGCCCTGGTGATACAATGTTTATGTACTTGGCTGCTAACTGGAAGGTCAGCACTTTGAACTGACCAGCTGCTCCAAGGGAAAAAGATAGGAAAACCTGCTTCTGCAAATATTTACAGCCTCAGAAACCCTATGGGCTCCATTCCACCCTGCCAGTAGGATCTCTATGAGTTAGAATTGAAGCCACAGCAGTGGGTGGATTCTTGAACAAATGTGAGATAGGACCTTGGGAGCTCCCAGAAGCAACTGGGAGACATTTTTTGGGGGTGGAGGGGTTAACTGCCAACAATCCAGCTTGAAATCACTATGATATAGGAATGAAGTAGATGTGATTCACTTTATAATCACAGGCTGAGATGACCTGTCTATATCAGATACACTTTACGCAGAAATAAAATTTCCCAAACTCAACAATTAGCAACTCCTTGAGTAAAGAATAGGAATATAGTACTGACTGATTAAAATTAATGATAGCCATTACATAGTATAATCATTAAAATTATGTTTATAGCAGGGGTTCAGTGATGAGAGAAAGCTTATCATGTTACCTTTTTTCTTTATCCATAATATTTTATTTATTTATAGTTCACTGGGAAATGAACCCCTATCTGGGTGCCCCTCTAAGACTCACACATTTCCATTGATGGCAGGAAGGCAATAGCAATATATTTGGCCATATTTTCAAGAGATTCGTTTGTGAATATGTAGTGTGGGCATCCCTGGATATGAGAGAGGCTGGGAATTTT